TTCAAATTTAGTTCAGAACTAAATATAACGATGAATGCGCATTTAGTTCGGAGCTTTTCTTCCATGTGGTTGTTGTTGCGTTTCTTTCACAGAGAGACAAATATTACAACAACCACATGGGAGAAAAGGTTCAGAACTAGAACGATGAATACGCCTTAAATCGTAGTAAGTGAAAGGAAAAATATGAAAAACTTACAGTGGCTTGCTCCTTGTTCATGGGGCCAGCTAAAGCTTCGATTTTTACTTCAGCACTTAGTGGATCAAAGTTGAGATTCTAAAAATAAAAATTTGAAATATCCGTTTCTTCCGTAAAATCAGAGTTCGCATATTCTAATATTTAAAAATGATAAAATTAAACTTTTTAACCGACTTCACAAAAAGGAGAATGTTATCGCTTCGTAGAAAATTTTGTTTCATTTTTATTTTTTTATGTATTTTACCGCACAACTTTGGACCACGTTAACCGATTTCTATAATTCTTTTTTTAAAGGAAAGGTGTTACCTCACAGGGGTCTCATCCTAATTTGGTTCACTGCATCATAAAGAGATTAACGATAATCTTAAATTTTTCAATGAGAATTGAAGTCGGTTTTGTTTTTTGCTTAAAAATTACTTGTTTGATATAAATATTCTGGTGTCCATATAAATGTTTACACAATAATTAATCTCCTTACCGGGGGATTGCTGGAAGAAAATGGCTGTCCAACTTTTGGCGGCATAACATTATCCGTAGAACGCAAAACAGGCACGTAAAAACGCTCTTCTAATAGAGCCTCAATCTTTTTTGCCAATTCGGGTGGAGGATTTGAAACTNAAGAGTTACTATCTGTACATACATCTTTCGGATATAGTCCCTCTGAGTTACGCGTCATTTTACATTCCGGAAATGATGTCAAAACCTCTACCATCTCAGCAGCGCCGTTCTTTGTAGCCAAATGTAATGGTGTTTCGCTACGTCCCTTCTCTGGTATATTTAGATAATAGTCCAATAAATTCACACACAATTCCTTGCACATTTTCTCGTCGTTTTTCTTTCCCGTAAGCAAATCAACAAATTTTGAATCGCTTACTGTCTTCAAAATGAGTTCAGCTATGCGGGGCTTCTTGGAAATAGCACATATGTGCATGGCATTATAGCGATATCCCTCTTTAAGTGTGGTGGGTGTGTCGCCAGCGCTCACCAAATATCGTGGATTATCCCAAATCATATTTTTAACGCGTTCACAATCGCCTGCTTCGATTACTTTTCGAAATTCAATCAATTCCTGTTTGGTGGGGCCACGAAATGCCGCTTTTTCTACCACAATAGAAGCTGCAAGCAAAGAAGTGGAATTATTTATATTGAAAACAGATATGTACACATGTATGGTATATTTTAAAGACGAAATACATACATTTGGCGTCGGCATGACGCGGTGGCGCTACC